GGCGGCGAGTCCGAATCGGCCGCCCAGATCGACGAGATGGGCTCCGCCGCCGGCCTGCTGCGGGCGCGCGCGGTCGCGGACTCGTTCGACTCGGTGGGGCCCGACTTCATGCAACCAGGCCGCTGGCAGGTGGTCCAGAGCTTTCAATGAAGGGCCGATGCTAACATCCTCCGTCTCGAGAGACTGGCTTTGTTTTCGGCTCGTGGCCATCTGCTCCGTGGTCGAACTGCTTTCGGTCGACGGCTTTTCATTTTCGTCGACAATCTCGGGCTGGCTCTCGCTGTCTGCAAAGGGCGCTCTGGGGCCGTCCAGGTCCCAGACGTGCTCCGAGAGATCTTCGCCGTGCCCCTGGCGCGCGTGGTCTGGCCCTCGGCCCGACAGGCCCCCTCAGAGCGCAGCCCTCTGGGCTGTCCCTCGTGAGATCACTTCTTTTTAGAAAAAGCGCGGGCAAGCCAGACGTTGTGGGCACCGCTGCTGGCGCCGTAGCCGCCGCTGCCGACGCGGGCGCTCTGCCAGCCATTCCGCCGTTTGCTGCCATCAGCGAGAGGGGCCCGACGCGACTCTTGCGGTAGTGCTGGGTCCCTGCGCGTGGCGGGCGTTGCCGACGAGGCACCCCAGCGCGGTGCAAGTGGCCGCGCGTCAACGCTGCCTGCCGCTGCCGCCGTCGCCCCTCGCCCTCCCGACCATGCGTGACCTGAGCTATTTGGAGGGCCGGTCGGTGGCGCCAGTGACGTACAAAGACTACTGCCGCTGGACCCTGGGTTTCTTCCAGTGGGCGTCGTCGGTTCGCCTGGACTGGGGCAGCTACGAGCAACTGGAAGTCTGCCTGGTCCCCTTCCTGGGCGAGCTGTTCTTCGGGGACTTCGCCGGCGACGACGCCGGCACGCTGGTCGCAGCGGTGGAGTTTGTTTTGTCCAGAGCTGAGCCGTTTGGGAGCGGGCGCGCTACCGCGCGCGTCTCTCGCTCTCCAGGGCAGGGGCAAGATCGCCACCCGGAAGAGCCGCATGCTCGCGCAGTGGGCGCTGCTGCGCGCGATTATGTTTGTCTTCCGCACTGGGGCTTGGTAGGGCACGCAGTTGCCGCCCTGATCTCCTTCGTAGTAGCGTACTTTCGGCCAGGCGAATGCGATTCGCTCGCGTCGCTCCAGCTGGTCGCCCCCGTCGAGGCGGCCGGAGGGGCCGCGAGCGTCTGGGGCCTGCTGCTGGCTCTGGTGCAGATGGGGGCCCCGAGTTAGACGAACGCTTGGCGACGCGGTGCTCTTGGAGTCGGCGCCGTTCCTGTGCCCCTGCCTGCAGGTCTTCAAGGCCCGCGCCCGAGTTCCGACAGGCCGCATCTGGGCTCTCCCATGGGGCGACCTGTCCGTCCGACTGGCGGAGGCCGCGGCGGAGCTTCAGCTCTGGGGCCTGGGGGCCACGGCGCGCGGGCTTCGCCGCGGAGGTGCGTCTCGCGACCTCCCTCGCCAGCGCCGGGCGCAGCTGGGAGTGAAGCTGCGTGGGCGCTGGGCCTCGGACTCGACGCTGAAGCGCCGCGCCAAACATGCGCGCGCGGTCTCAGAGTTGGCCCGGGCGCCCCCGCAGATGGTGGAGCACGAGGACCGCGCCTCGGAGAGGCTCGCCGCCGCGTTCGCTGGCGCGGCCGTGCCCCTGCCGCCTCCCGCCGCGAGGCGCGGCCAGCAGGCCCCGGCGAGTCGCCGCTGAGTGACCGCCTTGTTGTGGCCCGCCTGCGCTTGTTGCTCCGTGCTGTGATGTCCGCCGCCAGTCACAATCGCAAACGGGTCCTTCTCGAGTTTTTTGCCGGTTCCCAGGGGCGCAGCCGAAGGGTGAAACATTCGGGGTGCGGGGTGATTGCCGCTGATTTCGTTTCTCCTCCGTGGTTCGGTCTGGGCCGCCCGGCCATCCCGCGGAGCCTTTTCGGTTTGGTTTCTTCGGGGGTCATCCAGGCCGTCTGCCTGGGAACGCCCCGCAACATTTGGTCGCAGGCTGGCACCGGCCCCCAGGCAACAGCTGGTGCAGGCTTCGCTCTCCCGATGCGAGGGGCCTCCCAGGCTTGGAAGGCCAACTTCTCGTTTCTATAAGAATCGCTCGGGCTTGCGTGCGTCCAGGAATCCCCGCTTTCCTGGAGAAGCCGGCCTCTTCTTTCCGTTGGTCCTCTTTTCCTCTCGTCAGACTCGCCCCCCCCCCTTCGCCCCCCCTCCTTCTGTCCCAGAGCCTGGTCCTTGATTGCGAAGGCCTTGCGGCCGGTGCTGCTGACCTTGAAGGGGGACGACGACGACGACGACGACGACGACGACGACGACGACGACGACGACGACGACGACGACGACGACGACGACGACGACGACGCTGACGTGGGTCAGAGTCCTCAGGGACTCTGTTGGGGATCTCTTCGGAGCGCTGTGGGAGGCCTCTGGGGGAGCCTTTTGGGGGCCTCTTGGGGCTTCCTGGGGGTCTCCTGGGGGCCTCCTGGAGCCTCTTCGGGGACTCTTGGGCGCCTCTTGGGGCCTCCTGGGAGCCTCTCTGGGCGTCGGGGTCGACATGTCCGTTTGGTTCCCCTGTCAGGGCTCCCTCTTGGAACCCTCTTCGGGGGCCTCTTGGGCCGTCTTGCAAGCGTCTTGGGCTTCGGGCCCTTTTTCTTTGGTCCGTGTCGGGACCCTCTTGAGGGCCTCTTGGGGCGATCGTTGGAGCCTCTTGGCCCGTTTTGTAGCGTCGGAAAGCTGAAAAGGCGAGAGCATCCGAATCTCTGACACAACTGTAAGAACATGATTGATTTTTGCGTTTTGAGGCTCTTTTTGGAGTGCTCTTCGAGGCCTCTTGGGACGTCTTCCAGCCCTCTTGGGCCGTCTGGAGGCCGTAAAGGTCTTGGACCGATCATTCGACGACTCGGGGTCCTCGGGCCACGTCGGCACTCTTGGGGCACCTTCGGCTCGTCTTGAGTTTTTTTTTGGGCCCGGGCCTACCCCCCCGGGACCCTCCCCCCTGGCGGGGAAGGGATCCGAGGGAAGGAACTCCCATTTCCACTCGATGCCGACGTCGCTCAATTTCGTTTTGGCTGGCGCGCTTGAGGAGGAGGGCCCAGGACAAGGGGAGGGCGGCGACGGGCCCAGGAAAAGAGAGGAAGCGGCGACGGCGACGGCAACGATGACGACGACGACGACGTCGACGAAGACGAGTCAAACGGAACAGCCTCTTTCCACACGCCGACAGGGTCGGCGGATTTTTGTGTATTTGGGACCCGTTGGAGGAAACGGACCCAGGTCCAAGCGTAGTCTAGCGGTTTCAAGATCAGATTGTTCAAATTATGTAATGCTCGCGGCGGTCTTTGCGCGCACTCGGACAGTGAACCCAAGTTGCGCAGAGAGCACCCGGCGGATGGCCTGAACTTCCGCCTCGGCTATAATGAGTTGCGTTTCGGGCTTCCACTTAGCCCGCCTCCATCATGTGATTATGATATGGTGCCAGTTTGGCAACATAGAAAAACAGTTTTGACGGCCTTCGGCCAGAAGCCTTCCTGGGAAATGGGCTGGTCCCTCTCCCTCCGCTCCTGGTCGGTGGTGGTGTCCTCCTGCTCCCTCCCCTCCTCCGCTGCCGGCCGATCCTCGGCACGACCCGGTCCGTCGTGGTGTGCAGTTGCTTTTCTCGCGAACACGACATCGAAATTTGGCTTGTGTGATGCGCTGCATGATGATGCTGCTGCTGCTGGTGATGATAATGATGCTGGTGCCGATGCTGGTGCTGATGATGAGGATTATCTCGGTGATCGGGATGAGGATGATGCTACTGCTGATGATGATGCCAGTGACAATGCGGATTAATAGTCCTGGTGCCGATGTTGATGGCGATGGTGATGGTGAGAGGAGGAGTTGCAGTTGAAATGCGAGGAGCATGACGAGGACGAAACCACCAGGAGTCAGCGAAGGAACAGGCGGTGTACGGTAGGCAATAAAGGAGGGACGATGAGAATAGCAAGAAGGGGACGAATCATAGTAATGCTGAAATTTTTGAAGATCATAATGGTGATCGATGCTGTTGATGTTGCTGCTGCTGATGATGATGATGATGATGATGATGATGATGATGATGATGATGATGATGATGATGATGATGATGCGGAGGATGATGATGAGGAGGAGGTACAGGAAGACTATGGGGAGGATGGTAAGTCCAAGTTGAAGCTGAACGATGATGATGATGATGATGATGATGATGATGATGATGATGATGATGATGATGATGATGATGCTAATGCTGATGCTGATGCTGATGCTGATGCTGATGCTGATGCTGATGCTGATGCTGCTGCTGCTGCTGCTGCTGATGATGATGATGATGATGATGATGATGATGATGATGATGATGATGATGATGATGTATGATGCTGGATCGACATGGTGCCGACGATGCTGCTTATGATGATGCTGATGCTGCTGATAATGACGATCCTGCTGATGATGATGGTGATGATGACGACGACGATGGTGATCATGATGGTGATCATGATGATGGACATGATGATGGTGCTGATTATGACGATGATGGTCATGATGATGCTGGTGACGGTGATTATTATGATGATGCTGATGCTGAAGCTGACGCTATTGATGATGCTGATGCCGATGCTGCTGCTGATGATGCTCATGGTGCTGATGCTGGTGCTGCTGATGATGGTGATGTCTATTATGATGATGTTGATGATGGTGCTCATGATGATGATGGTCATGCTGATGATGATCATGCTGTTGATAATGCTGCTGATGATGTTGATGATCATGCTGCTGCTGATTATGATAGTGGTGGTGCTGATGCTGATGATGATGGTGCTGGTCATGTTAATCGTGATGATGTACGAGTCAGCTTTGATGAGCGAAGGAGGGAGGGACATATCGAGGAGTAAGTGGATGACATTGGACCAAGAAAAGGGAGTAACAGGAAGTTGGAGGAGGAGTTTGGATTAGGGGAGGAGTAGCTGGCCCAGGGTATGCATCCTCCACACCCCTTTGCCAGGCCACGTTCTTGGCAATGCTGCTGCAGAACCACGACCAGCCGAGCGCCCTGGGTTCATCTCAGGAGTCGCCGCCGCTCCGCGTTCGAGAGTCGCGACGGAGAGAGGAGCACGGGGGGGAACTGCTCGACGTGGGCATCCCAGTAGGTGCATGTTGTACTCCTGCCGCGTCTCGCTGAGGAACTCTGTGTGTGAGTGTGATGGTGTGGGGGCGAGTCCGCGTAGACGACGGGAGCGGCCGCGAGGACGACGACAACAGCGACGGCTTCAGTGATGTCCAGTGGCAGATAGACCATATATTGATTGATTCCATAGTCTGGGGGAGAATTGTAGATGCAGGGATGATGCATTCTATGAACATGGGGAGCAATCGCGACACCGTGGCTGTTGTTATGGGGACGCGTGGCTAGACACCACGCAGCAACAATCCCAAAGACATCAATGCTGATTGGTCTCAGCTCGAGGTTCCTGCGCACGACGTGCCGTAAGCGAAGGACCCAGCTTGCAGGTGGCGAATTCTTTGACACGCGCAAATGCATGCGCGGAGGGGTGGGGTAACATGCCTCTGGCGCGCGCGCGGGGCTCGCAGTCCCGACGCTCGCACGCGTCCTCCCCGCCCATCTCTGCATTCCCCTAGTTCGGCGGCTCCGCCGAAGGCCCCAGTGGCGACGCTTGCATCACGGTCCCGCTCAATTTTTTCGGCACACCTCTCACACGATCCGTGGCCCCATATGATGCACCACCAAGTGCCCCATTGGCTGTGCCCGCACGCGTCCACGTTCCATGCTGGCACTCCCTTTACACGCCTTGTGGTCTCATGAGATCCACCGAAGGCGGTACCCACCTCGCGATACTCACCACTGCATATGGTTGGGCCCTTAGTCCGGATATTTTTTGCCCCAGCCATTCTGTGGTGTTGGTTTCTCGTTTTGAAGGGACAGCACCCCGCGTTCCTTCGTTTCATCTCCCCCTCTTCCCTCTTCCCACCCGTGCTTCTGCCATGCCTATGACCTCATCTCATCACCATCTTGCGTAGCCCTCCGGCGCCCAGCCCCATTTTGGCGCACCCCTCACACGGTTCGTGGCCCCATAGGTAGATGAGCCGAAGGTTTTAGTGGCAGACATGATGACGCCGCCGCCCCATTTTGGCGCACCCCTTGCACGGTTCGTGGCCCCATTAGGAGCTTACCGAAGGCTCCCGTGGCAGGGTTCGCATGAGGGCGCCGCCCCATTTTGGCGCACCACTCACGGTTCGTGGGCACACGGGGATCTCCACCAAACGCGGAACTGCAACATGGTATTCACAATTGCGTACGTTGGGGTAGTTCGCAATGTTTGTGTGTGTGTGTCTGTCTGTTGTGTTGTGTTGTTGTATATACATGTGCGTATACCTGTATGCATGTACATGTATAGATATGTGTGGCTACACTTATATAAACATACACATATATCTGTGTATGTATAGCTGTATAGACAGACCTATAGGACATACTGTATATGTACACACGTACACGTAGTTGTCTGTGTATATGTAAATATACGCATATACATATGCAGATGTACACGTGATTGTGCACGCCGATGTAGCTATATATGTACATGTGTATGTATAAGTATATGGTAATGCACATGAATGTGTGAATGTATATGGACTTGCATATGTATATATGCAAATGTATATGCATACGTGGATGCATACGCACATTTGTTATGACATCACTTACCTGTAGGTTCATGTGTATGTATATATGGATATGCACGTGTATGTGTATGCGTGTATGAAGGCGCATATATGTACGTATACGCATGTGTATATGTGTACGCGAATGCATGTGCCTATGTTCGCGTTCATGCTTCTTGCAATCTAATGTACAGGGGAACGTGTACACGTATATTCATCAGTCTATGCATATGTATTTGTATACGTATATATATATATATATATGTGTGCATGATGTGGATGCATCTGTATATGCATAGTAAGTTGCAGATGTCTCTTTGCATCCATATACATAGGTGAAACTATGTATGTACATGTTTGGGCATGTGTATGTGTCGAGGTATGCGTTCATATGTTTTGCATTTGCATGTGTATATGCACATGTTTAGGTTTACGTACATGCATATGTATATGTGTGTGTATAGATCTATACATATTTACATGTATGTGCACGGTATGTATACGCATGGTCATGTACATGTATAGGTACATGTATCTGTGTTTGAGGTGTATATGTAGTTGTTCTTGTTATGTATATGTGTATGTAACTGTGTAGGTTCATGTATGTAAATGTGTTTGTGCTTGTGGTTGTGGTTGTGTATGTGTATGTGTATAAGTATGGGCTTGTAATATGTGTGTGTATTCGTATACGTCTACAGTTTTTATGTATAGTGGTATGTGTATATGTAGTCGTACGTGTTCTTGTATATGTCGAATTTTATATGTTTGCATGGCTGTGTGCATGTATGCATGCATGTATGCATGCGTACGGCTATGTATATATATATATATATAGATGTGTGTGTGTAAATGCATGTGTATCGGTATATGTACATGCCAATGTGAATGTATATATATATATATGAGATGTATACGTACATGGGCATGTATATGTACATATAATTGCACATGCTTATGTGTCTCTACACGCATACATGTATATATCTATATATACAAGTGGCACGTGTGTGCCCAGGCTCATACAACAAGCTGAAGGGGCGTTTGAAGCAGGAGTGACATGCAACAGCGAAGTCGCACTCGAGCGCAAGTGGGGTTGCCACACTTTGCGATGTGTGTACCAGGGCCCCCCAGGAAGCCTCAGGAGGCCCGACTGGGATACCAGAAGAGGCTCCAGGAGGCCCCAGGATTGTGAGTGTTGTGTGTGTGTGTGTGTGTGTGTGATGTGTGCTTTGTGTGGTGCGTGTTTTTTGTGTGTTGTCGGTGTTGTGTGTGTGTGTGTATATTTGTATAGTCTGATTGGTTGTAGACTGCAGGTTAAGTGGGAGGGGGTGTGTGCTCAGGTAGCCATTTTGGTTCCGTAGCGTTCGGCTCTGGCCGACGCGCGGGTGTTCCAGGGGGCCGCGGGGCGGCCATAACCACAGCCGTACTAGTCCGCGGACTAGGTAGCGCGCCTGTGGTGCCATGGCTGTGGGCTTCCTGGGGGCGCACCTGATGATCTTGGTTACGGGCGGCGCTCTTACGGTCCAAGGGGCACTTGGCTGGCTGCCGTTCGGGCGCGGGGGACATGAGGTCCCAGCGCCGACGCCGCCAGCCCTGCCCGGGCCGACAGCGCCACCGGCAGGCGGTGGGGGGCGAGGCAAGGGGCGAGGACCGCCCGCCAAGCCCGCGCCTGCAGGGGGAAAGGGGCGAGGGCCGCAGGCCAAGCCCCCGGGGGCGCCGGGCGTCCCACCGCCGCCGCGGTCAGGGTCGACTACAACGACCACGACCGCGGGCCTCGGGCGCGTAGGCGAGGGCGAGCCCACAGGCAGCCCAGCTACGCCGGCATACGGAGGTAACAACGAGCCCACGGGTGCGCCTGGGCAGCCGTCCGCCCCGGGAAACCGGACGGGCGATGGTGAGCCTGACCTGCCGCGTGGGCTGGACGGGTATTGGGGGTGGAGTGGTTGGGTCCCGCCCCTGCCCCATTGGTGGGCTGGCCGGAACGTACCCCCACCGCCGCCGCCGCCACCTACCCCGCCCCCGGAGGCGGGGCCGGGTCCCGGTTGGGGCTTCGCAGCCTGGGTCTTCGAGTTCGTGGGCTACGGAGCGTGGGTAAGCTCCCCCGACCACCCGGGCGCGATCCGCACGAGCGGCGGATGGATTGGATCCGCCGTCGACCGCCTGGGCGTTAAGATGCTTGGGTACTGGTGGGAGACCGCGGTCCTATGCATTGCCCTAGGCATCTTCACGTTCGTGTTGGGTGCCCTGGCCTTCATCATCAACACCGCAGCCCAGCCTATGCTGTGGGCTGCCGGGGGACTCCGCTGGGCGTGGTACCAGATTACCCGGTGCTGCCAGCGACGCGGAGGCGATGGGCCCGGCGCCCATCTTCCCCCACCCCCTCCGACCCCCTTGCTGGTGCGCTGGCGCGGGCCGGGCTTGGGCGGCGTGGTGGAGACAGAGTTCTACACAAAGGGGGTCCGCGGCCGAGGGACCAATCGGGCGCACAACCACGTGCTGCTGCGTAAGCACGGGCAGGTGGCCCGCATCAGCTGCAACTTCGCGGACCGGTACCGATTGGACCGCCACGGGCTCAACATCAAGATCGGGCAGGTCCTGGGGTGCACCAGTCGCAAGTGGCGGCTGAACCTCGTGGAGACAGGGAATGTGCATCTATGTCGTGCCGTCGAGTGCGCCTCCTGTCAGTGGCGCATCCCATGCACGTCGACCAGTACGCGGCCATTGACCACACACAGATCGTGGACTTGGCTGAGCACGGAAGGGCCACGGCCTGCCGGGCAGTCGGCGTGGGACTCCGGAAGGTATTCGGGGTCGTCAAGTGGCTGCTTTGCTCACCCTGGTCGGTTCTCGGATGGCTGTGCCGGGGCCGGCCGGAGCCCCGCTACATCACTGACGCCACGGGCTATCGCCGCCTGGACATCGATTCGGAGAGCGAGGTGGAGGTAGAGCGAGGGGGAGGCGGATAATTAGGAGGGAGCTCCCGGCCAGGCCGCACAAGTTGGGGTGCCAGTCGCGGGTGGACGCACGCCCCTCAGACGGAGGGCGTGCGGCGACGAGGATTGCAGGAGGTTAATCTTACATTCTTGTTATTTTACTTTTTCTTTTTTTTTCTGTTTTTTTTGATCTTCTTCTTCTTTGTGTCTTTTTTTTTTTTTACTGATGAATTTTATTTTTTATTTGTCTGTTTTTTTTTAAGATTTCTATTTTTTTTTTTGATTTATACTTAATATAGTTTTGTTCATATTGTTAATTTAATATAACTGACTGCCACGGAGACGCGAGGTGTCGGATGTTCCCCGGCCGGGGTCCCCCGGCCGGGGCATTGTCTCAATGCACAGGTGCACCTCTGCGCACACCATGCGCAGAAGTATCGGTCTACCCTGA